AAACATACATGTTTATGTTAATTTAAATCTAGCTCCCCGCGTAGTGTTACAACAGAATGATGATTTATTGACTTTTCATTTGATGTTTGTAGATTTTATGCATTGAATAGCCATCCAATTGATTAAGCTATATTTCATGTAAAATTGCTTCCGGGTTTCATTTCATAGCACCTATTTTTTACACATTTTCGGGGGAATCTGCCCCCAGACCATCCCCGTAGCATTAGCACGTTTTGCATGCTGATTGTGCTTCGTAAAAAATGTGTTGGCTATAATCTCACAAATTAGACCCCCTTTCAAACATTCTGCGAATAGGCCTGGTAATTAAACCTTAATCTTGTTATTGTTGTTAGGAAAGTTTCTGGGTATAACAGGAGAAAGAAAACCGTATAACTACACAAAATATTGTTAGGACAGCGGAAGTCACGTGACTCTGGTAACACATGATGAATTTCTCGATTGATCATGAATTATTGAGGAAGACCGAGTTTGTTCGGGACGCCCTCTTTTTTAGTATATAAGTCTGGCAGAGAAAGCCTGCTGGAATGAATGAAGAGAGTTCCGGGTAATTAATTTACGTTTCTGTTTCGACCTAGTGTGTGTTTTGTTATAGAGATTGTGAATCGCTGTGATTTATATCGTGTATTATAAAAGTAGTTAAGTTTAGAAACGTACTGATTGTGAAATTACTGAGTGCTAAAAGTTTGTATCAGAAAGAATAAATTGGTTTAACCAAGAAAGGACTTGTATCGCTGAAGTTTCTCGGAAAGAATTTCTACCGGAAATTAATAAACAAGCAGATACATAACAATATCGATAAGTTCTGACCGATCTACAGTTTTAAAAAGAAGGCTTTAAATTAACAGACATTATTCTGTAAGATATGTTATTTTTTAAATATTTAATGTAGTGCCATCTAATGCCGTATTAACGAATCTTCAGTAGTGAGTTAGTGAATTGTATTAGGAACGTTTGCCTCTTCTCGCTATCACTTTTAACTTTCTTTGCTATATTTTGGACTTGGTCGCTTAGGATGAAAATTTAAAACATGGCAAAATTAAGTATTGTTTGTTCAGTTAAGCGACACCTAAACACATTTTAACGGTGGAACAGACGAACGTCTATTGACCTAAAACGCTAAAATCCGAAGTTAGATTTCTCGCAGCGAACAAAGCATATGGTTGTATGCATACTTTAGCTGGTTGGGAATATCTGATATGTTCTAGGCCAAAATAACAATGTATGTGCTTATAATTTGTAATATAAGTTTTGCTGAATAAGAAGAGACGTAACAAACGTAATCTAACCTATATGAAAGCCATCATGTATCACGTCACGTCACGCTCGATTTCTCGAAATAGGAGGAATCATAAAAGCCCAAATGTATTTATCCATGTAGAATAGTTTGATTACTGTCTGGCCATTACGATTTAAGTTACGGGGGTGCAAGGGGGCCGTGAGGGTGTCGTGAAACCTTATAAGTGTAGTGAGTGTTGGTATAATAAGCCGAAAGTAAAGACGTAGTGTGGATCACCTAGCCTAGAGCCAAGTACATAAAATTCATTATGCAATTAAATATATCGAATCAGTTTTAAACTTAAATAGCTTCTGAATTAAACTATTTTCTGTTATATCACCAAAATTTTTAATAATAAAAAACCTCTTTAATCAACGGAGACTAAATTAAGAAATCAATAAATATTTTTCCAGTTTTGTTGTCTAAACATTCCATTTTATATGCCAGTACAACAATATTAGGTTATACTTTTGTTGCCAAGCAACATGACATAAAAGCCATTGTTGGAACGTGGTGTTACCAAAACAGACTGGCTTTTCTATATATTAGAAGTTGTTAATCTAACTGATTTTTACCAATAGTTATTCTATGGATACGCCACGAATTCATTTCATGAATTATCTTAATTTTGATTGGCTCGCAAAGGAATTTACCGACATTTAACTGCCTCAACTGCACTTTTCTGCTTCTTTGTTGGTCAAGCTTAATTTCGCAAAATTTATTTATTTCAGTTAGCTATGAAATGTGAGGTTAGGGTATACTATGGGGGTGGTAGTACTTGCCCTGTGATGTTTGACGAGTTATACGAAAATAAATTTATAAAAACAGATTTTTGTGAGCCTCACATAGAATAAAATCCTGTCGAATATTTTAAACAAATTACATTTCGTGATATAATTATTGTGTGAAGTGTTAAATGTATATTTGCTTGAAATATTTGACAGTAATTATAATCTAAAATAATATTTCTCCCCGGCGGTGAATCGAACCCCGGTCTCCCGCGTGACAGGCGGGGATACTTACCACTATACTACCGAGGATATGAGAAACAGCGTGTTGTTTACTACTAATAATTATTTTAATATTGTTATTTTCGAAGACATAGCAATAACAAAAATTATAGGTTCTTCGAAACAGTTAACTAATTCAATGCAGAATTATCTTTATTATTTCGTAGTCTTCACAACCTACTCATGTGACGATGACTTATTTAAAATGTGTTCTGCTCAAGTTTAGTATATTGTGGAAAGATTAACTAGTCTTGGATTAGGCCACCTTTACAGAATAAACAATATGAACAATGTATTTTATAAACACTACTGTTAGAGGGGAAAAGTTACAAAAAAAAAGGGGAATTTTTGTTTATACCCAAATACAAGAAAAACATTTTAAAGTTATTTATTCACTGCTGTAATATCACGATGTATGATATGTAACTTTATATGACAAATACATGACACACATTAACAACACCATAGCATTACGTGTATATTCAATGATACAAACAATCTGTTAACTTGACAAGTATATTTAAATATAATACAGAGTCACGTGCACTTTTCATCCCGTAAATGAATGAAATAACTCATTCATTTAACTTCTGTAAACTTAAAAATTATAAACATAAATTTCCAAATCGATACTTTGTTTCCTACATTCATTATTACTTGTCCAGGTTTACTGATGTAGCGTGAACTTCTCGAAATCAGTATAATTCAGTGACCAGTAGTGAATCGAATGACAGACTGGGCTTCGTAGGTTTATTTTATGTAAATAACCTTTTCGTTTCTGGGATAGTTTGGGTCGTTAGACAAAAATAAATACGCTGGCGACTTCTCGTGGTTAAAATTTGAAGCCAATATCCACGGAAAATGTAGCGGCTGACATAATTGTAGTTCGTAAGGCTTAACTTAAATTTCGTTTAAAAAACAACAGTCAAAACTTCAAAATTTTTTTTTCAAACCAAATAAATAGTACTGTTTTATTTATTAGATGCTCTCTCGGTGTCATTTTATTGGGTGAAAGTAAATTTAACAAGTGTTTTTACCATATAAAAAGTTTTATTTTTATTGAACCAATATTGTGATACAAAACAAAAATAATCAGCTTATTATTCAATACTGTTTCTACATAAAACGTTATATAGTTATAATATTTAAATTTATAGCACCTTTACCATGAAGACAGCAGAAAGAAAAAAAACTAATCTGTTTTGTTTGAACGTGATTGTTACTATTTAAATCAAAACTATTATTTAAAAATAAGAAATGATTTTTAAAATAATACAGTTTATTTTATTAGACTTTGAATATTGAGATATAATACTTGTCAACTCATATGCATTTAAAGCTTTCAAAATTCACCAAATAAAAATATTATTAAGTAAAGTTTACATATATTTGTAGCATTTTCCATATTACTGTACCAGACCACAGGCACTGTATTGTTTAATACATTCAAACTAATTAGAAACAACGTGTTAATGTTTGTTCACCCATCACCTCTTTAAATTATTTTTACAATTTATATTTAGATGAGTAAAACTATAAAAACACCTTCTAAACATTGACTAAACTATACAACTAAAAATTTACTTCCAAGACGTAAAAAAGAAAATATTTCCATGATATACAACATTTTTAGTACACAACAGTTAAAAACATACTTTAAAGATATACAAGACTTCCATTACACAACAATTAAAAACATACTTTCAAGATATACAAGACTTCCATTACATAACAATTAAAAACATACTTTCAAGATATACAAGACTTCCATTACATAACAATTAAAACATACTTCTAAGGTATACAAGACTTCCATTACACAACAATTAAAAACATGCTTTCAAGATATACAAGACTTCCATTACATAACAATTAAACATATACTTCTAAGGTATACAAGACTTCCATTACACAACAATTAAAAACATACTTCTAACAAATACAAAACTTTTAGTACACAACAATTAAAAACATACTTTCAAGGTATACAATACTTCCATTACACAACAATTAAAAACATACTTCCAAGATATACAAGACTTCTAGTACACAACAATTAAAAACATACTTTCAAGATATACAAGACTTCCATCACACAACAATTAAAAACATACTTCCAAGATATACAAGACTTCCATTACACAACAATTAAAAACATACTTCCAAGATATACAAGACTTCTAGTACACAACAATTAAAAACATACTTTCAAGATATACAAGACTTCCATT